CCAGAGTACTAGAGGTAGAGCGCATGTGTAGATAGTTTCGGCACAGAAAGATCCTCTATATAAAGAGAATGCCATTATGAGAAAAAACTACACATGATTTACGAATTTGTAACCAGATTTGTATGCAAATTATTAAGATTAAAACTAGCAATATGTATTAACTCTGACTGATTCGATTGTAATCAAGTCAATATATTTTTTTTTTCATTAACCAGGCTCTAATTTTTTTATAACAGAGAGACAGGTTTTAAATGATTTATAGGAGATTTCCACAATAGAAATGGTAGGGAATATCAGCCGCAGTGGGAAAGAGTACAAGAACGATAAGTAGAGAAACTTTTCAGGCCTCTTTTTAGACAAGCAATTGGACAATTTTTTACAGAACACACATCACCATCAGCTGAACTCTAATTAAATTCATGATTTATAGAATGTAAAATCCATTTTTAAACTTTTGAATGGCATAGTAATTGGGAGCTATTGACTCATACATACTACCAAAGCTGTGAATGCACTTGGATGGAAAAATTCTGAAAAAGAAAGCCAACTCAGTCAGTATGTGTGTGGCTATCTGGCTCCTCTTCGCCAAAGTGCGCACACTGCACGAGGAAGAGCGTATGAGAGAAGGAGAGAGAGAGAAAAAGAATTAGCGCGTGGAAAGCGTGTGAACTTTAATTTTTTCCTTCTGGCCATAATAATGATCAGATCTGGTAGATATTTTTTATGATTTTGCGTCGGATAAATCTACAGACGGATAGATTGCTGAGCTATTGATGCTGATCAACAATATATATATACTTTATATAGTGGGAGACGCTTTCTTCTGGGACTTAAATCTAATATACCCCTGTACTCTTTGGGTATCCGGTATAAATCGATTTTTGGAGTATATTGCGAACTCTAAATAAGAGGATGTGAGGATTATCATTTAGGCCTACAAAGTGTAATTTTTTTGTGGGATAAAAAGATCTTGTTTACATACATCTATTATAAACATATGTATGTAATATACATAGTTCATGTATTTCAAGACATTGATGGATAAAAGTTCTTACTCGAAATAAAAAACAAAAAATAATTAAACTTCAAATTGAGTGTCCTGCGTTGTCCTGAATGAAATCACATGTTTTATTGTACAATACATATGTATATGTTCGAATGGAATTCGAAAGGAATTTCTAATTTCAAGCTCATTGCTAATGCATTTATAATAAGTTTCGGGATTACATATTTAAATACCAGATTTAAATCACAACCCTTCGGGTGGCACACCACACTCCTTCCGATCCCAAAGCTCGTCCCCATAATTTATGTAAAAACTTTATAATCCAGGAGAGATTTTTTGTTGCAGGGCGGTTCATTAATTTATGAATATCAAATTGCATTTTGACATTTGCCAACAAAAACTATTTAAAACTTGTGTCCACTCACACCCACACTCCACAACCAGAAGAGTGAGCGCTTAAACACAATGGCCTTGGTCTCTGGTCCCACCCAAGCACCCAGCCATCCAGCCCGCCAAAGCCCCCACTATCAACGGTCCCTTTTTCACCTCCACCTCCACCTCCATCTCCACCACCACCCATTGGCAATTCAGTTTGATTGAAGCGCCCGCATGTACAGAGCATTTTAAATATTTACAAAGATATTTCAAAAAACGCTTTTGGCATGTTTTGTTTTCTGTTTTCCTGTTTTTTGCAGTCCTTATAATTGTTGTTGTCCAGAGGTCCCGAGTTCTCGAGTCCCTCCCCAATGCTGCTGAAGTGTTTTGCTCACTTTTTGCCCGGCAGTGGAACCCCTAGTCAAAAAAAAAAAACCAAAAAAAAGGGAAAACGAACTTCAAATGTGGAATGAGGGCGGTCTGGTGAGTGGAGTCGAGTCATGGTGGTGGCGGTGGCGATGACGATGGCGATGGCGGTACTGCTGGCTGGGGCACTTGAGAGCGGAGCGCGTGTGTCCTTTTAGGAAAGTGTCAAAAACCGTTGGTCAAAAAACCGTATGGCAATTATTCAACACAATTGAATATGAAGTGTGGCAATGGCAAAGGACGAGGACGAGGGACAGGATGAGGCTGGGGCTTGGCCAGGGACATGGGGCAAAAAGTTGCAGCGCTTGGCAAATAATGAAAAATACACCCACATCAGTATTTTTTGGCTGTCTGTACTCGCACACACCCACACAAATACACAGGGACACACACACACACAAACACATACTCCCATAAAGGACCAACACTTTGGCACCCTTTTCATGTGCCCCTTGGTTTTGCTGTTGCTGCCGTTGCTGCTGCTGCTGTTGCTGTTTCTGGTGTTGTTGTTGTTGTTGTTGTTGCGCAGTTGCTGGCTGCCGCCTGGCAATTTTTCGGTGATAAAATATTTAAATTTAATTAAGGCCACCAACGAGCAGCAGCACGATTTCCGAGCCACTGCCAAAGGGAAGATGAAGTGGACCCAGAGCCAGAGCCAGAGCCAGAGCCAGAGCTAGAGCATCAGTAGCAGTAGCAGTAGCAGTGCCTCTACCACCATCAACAGCAGCTGGACCTTTGACCCTGCATCCGCACCCAACCACCCTCCCCACTCTGGGGGTCGGGGCGTTGGTCCTTTTTGCGCCTTTTTGCATTTGCGTGTAGTGCGTTTTTTGAGGCTTACGGCCGCTGGCCGGCAAAGAAATTCATTAAAAATTTTTGCTTTGATGCTACCAAATTCTTTTTACAAGTTTCTTTGTACTTTCGGCCTTACGCCCAACCGACTGTATCTCAAAAACAGCAGCAGCAGAAACAACAATGATAAATACTTTCAAAGGACTTCAACTGTTTGTGAATGTCCTTGCCAGGGGATTACGTTTTTGGGACTAAACCCCAATTCGGTTTTGTAATTAAGCTCCAAGGCCACAAAATTCGTAACTCCTCGTCGTCGTAGTACTTATGTATAAGATACAATTCCCAAAGATTTAAATTGAACACGATTGCTGCAACAAATTGTTGCCAAAGAGCAAAAGTTTGTGTCTTTCTGGCATCTTAATCTTCCGAAGGAGTCACGAACTTATTCCGTGTTTCTTTGTCGTCTTCGGAAACTAAACTATTCTGTGGCACTGCCACCAAACTTTTGATCTTGAGTTGTGCAAATATTTTTCATTATGCGGACAAAGTATTTATGGAATTATGGTAATTTTATATGGAAAATAGTTCTCTTGCTTGACTGCCAAAAAAGGGGAAATTGAGAAGCATTTTAATTTTGGATCACCTGAATCGAGGGGTTGAACAGTTTTTTTTTGGAATTCTTAAGAAAATTTTTTGCAGATTATATTTTTGTTGTTATTATAATCTGATTTTTGGAATTTATGAAAGTTTAATGAGCTCTAGACTATTTTCGACCCACTGGAATGCCCTGACAGCCCAGACATAATCGACACACGTCCATCCGAATACCTTTATTGAATTATGGGAATAATAGACAATAGATATTGTTGTATAAATTTCCTATACCCATAGCTGAAAATCGCTGCTAATGGAAAACCCTCTTCAAATTTCCATGTTGAAAATTGCAGTCAAGTATGTGATTGATTCCTGATCCGGGCTGAATCTATTTGGAAGATGAGGTTCCTGCTCCTGTGCCGCATGGTTCAGCTGGGCATTTTGACAATTAGCCATGGCCCACTGGCATCAGTCCTCTGCAGGCGACCTCTGATGCAATATTCTATCTGGAGAAATGCGCCTCGAGGTAATGGGAACCATGGCTGGACAGGTGTATTGTTCCTGCACCCTGTGTACCTGTTTTGTCACATTTAAAATTCTATTGTTTGCTCTGCTGGAAAGATTCGTTTCTGGCCAAAATGCGTGCACGTAGGCCAGACGGAAGGATGGATGGACGGACGCAGAAGTCAACAATGGAGTGTGGACAGAGGCATGCAAATTGGTCATAGAAGCCAAGGGGTAGAGGTAGAGAGACCAAGGCGTAGCCAATTTTTCTTGCATTTGCAGGGGTCTTCAAAGGGAGCCTGCCTGCCTGAATGGGGAACAGAACTGGAAACTTTTTCGGGCTCTGCTGCTGGTGGTGGTGGCGGTGGTGGTGTTATTGTTGCTACTGTCGGTGCTGTTTGTCCAAGTTGCCATTTCAAGCGTGTTGCAATGAAAAGTAAACTTTTTCTACGCACAGCATGGCCGGGGCTCGGGGCACACTCGTACAACCCTGCCTGTCGCTGTCGGTCCTAGCGCCCCGCCCATGGGCCATGGAACTGCACAGAGAACTCAACAGGCGCACACGGGGCGTATACGAAATTAAAATGCACTCAGCTGAAAAATTGGTTTTCTCGTTCTTGACAAACTTTGAGTGATTTCTGAAAGCCTCTAACGAGTGTCAGCCCCTCCCCTTGTCTCAGGGCGGGAGCAGCGTGGGCGATGGGCGACTTGGAAAGTAAGCAACAAGCAGCAGCCGGAAAAGGGAAAACGGAGAACGGAGAATGGAGAATGGAAAACGGAAAACCAGCTAAAAACAACAACAGCAAAAACAGCGATATGTAAAGATGTTTTAATTTGCTGAAGGGCGTGCAGGGGGCGCGAGGGAGAGAGGGTAAAATCGGAAAAACGAAGGCTCGACATTGTTTTTGTAAAATTGTTTTAATAAGGCGAAAATTGTAATCAAGCGTACTGACAGCAGCTCCCTCTCCCTCTGCTCTCACAAATCATAAATTATATAAAAAGTCGAGGGTAGGCGAAGACAGAGAGGCGCCCCACAAATTTTCTTGGCTTTTTCAATATCAATGTAGCAACAGATGTCGATGTTATTATAAGAGTGTTCTTTCTTTTCAGTTAACTTGAGGGTCTTGTGGCGGGAAAGATAGCCAACCTGTCCAACGGAAATTCAGCCAGTCCCGCTGCGGGACTTGGCTTTGTGGGGATCCTGCCGTGCGCCCTCCAGTGGCAGGCCCCTCCGTCGACGGGCAAGGCGCCGAAGCTACTAAACTACGCCGCTGCCTCGAGAACAGGCAGCCAGCCCTATGCCATGCCCTCCTCCTCGAGCAGCAAGAATTGCTGCGGAAACGGGAGTAGCCAGCCGCCGCCTGCGTCTGGTTGCTGCCAGGACTGCCGCTGCTGCAAGCAGAGCTATGAGCACTTGCCCGAGCCACGGCTGCAGCACCAGCAGCCGCCGCCTCCGCTCTTCCAGCATCACCAACAGCCGCCGCCGCCACCACTCTACTCGAATCAACAGCAGCAGCGGCAGCAGCAGCAGCAACAAGTTAGCTGCATCACGACCTTGCAGCAGACGACAACCACCCAGCAAATGCAGCAGCTTCCTGCCACGCCTGCTGCAGGCTACGGGTATGGAAATTGCCTGGTTCCGCATGTGCCCGAAACTACAACGACAACAACCTCCAACACATACGTGAGCAATCCCCTGCCGGATGCAGTGCAGCCGGTGCAAGCAGTGCGGCACTGCCACACGAATTGCGGGGGAAATGAGACCTGCAAGCTGCAACAATGCAGCAATAGCTCTCACCCTGCACAGCCGGCCCAACCAATGATCTTTCTTCCCTTCATGATGCCCATGCAACAGTCGTATATGCCGTATCCGCCTCCCTGTGCAGCTCCAGAAGATTTCAAGCCCCTGATCCAGGTGAAACCAGCTCCGCCACCACCACAGCCACCGCCTCCGATCAGAAACTACCAGCAGTTGATTGGACAGCCCCCGCTGCCTCCGTATCAGACGCACATCCTTCCCTGTCAGAAGCCAATCCGTACTCCAATGTCGACACCGCCACTGCCGCCGCTACCGCCGCTGCCTCGGAGTGTCCAGACCTTGAAGTCCGTCGCTGCAAAGGCTATCGACGCATACCAGAGGGTGAGTCCTAAGCAGCACTTAGTCAATAGCTCTGCTCTGATCCGCTCGGGGCCTGTAAAATGATGCAATTTGTTTGTCGCAACAGAGGCACGGACAATACCACGTATACTAAATATTTATGGGCGTGCTCTGGTGCTCTGGCAGCACTGCCAAACTCCAATTTACATAAACATAAAAGACAAGCAACATCAACTGCAGGGGCACTCTTCACGGAGCATCTGCATGCATGTCGGTGAGATTTAGCGCAGCGACAGGACACAAAAAATCAAAGCTACTGGCGAGGGGCAAATCCGAAAAGTACAAGCGGAAGTGAAAGCACAGGAGGTAGGGGCTTAAGAACTGCAGAGAGGGAGGGGTGGAGCTGATGGAGCACGGCGAGATTCGGCCAAGCACGGAAAAACTAATGCATAACCTAGTAAGATCATCAACACGAAATTTTACAGCAAACTCATGTCCAAGGATGTGGAAATAAACTTGTTCTTTTTGTAGTCGTGGCGCCTCCATCTCTACCTCTGCCACTGGCTCTGCCACTGGCCCTGCCACAAGCTCTTCCTCCCTTCACTCTCTCCAGTGTTGTCCTGCGCTCAATGACTTTTGCATTTAATATGAGTAAAGAAGCGCAGGACACAACAAGAAAGTATAGAGGCATGACAAGGAGCGACAGGGAGCAGCAAAGAACAGGCTAAAAAGTGAGCTGGACTTGAGGATTGGATTGGGGCTTTGGCTCGCTCTCTCTCCACTGCTGGCCAGCGACATGCAGAACGTGCTGTTTAAATTACGTTGCTGTCCTGCAGATTTCAGATTTCAGGTTTCAGGTAAAGGCTCACCGAGTCCGGTGCAAGGACAAGCAGATAGCAGTGTCTGCCGTCGGTTTGCTTTTCTTGGCCGTGTCCAGCGATTCGTTCATTTGATAGCCTTCTGCTGCTCTGCTGCTCTGCTTGTGCATACCAGATAAGTTGGTTCTGATTAAGAATCTGCAACACCAACAATTGCGCACAGACACAAACACACACAAATGCGCGACGTCAACGCTTCGACATCCGTTTCCTGTCCATGTTTGTGGGAGAGCGTAGAGCTTCCTGCTGCCGAGTGGTCACTCTCAATGTCTTTCTTTATGTGGAGAGGGGCTGCCGTGCCAGATTACAATATAAAAATTCATAAGTTTGCTACCAGCAATTTTCGTTTCATATTTCTGATGACAAGACCACTGCCATCCTCCATTCTGTCCCTCTTTGCGAGTCTCCTGCTGCTGAAGTGAAATATGTTTTACATTTGAAATAAACGTAAGCAAAATGCACATCACAGTCTCTCGCATCCTTAATTCTGTTCATTCACATGTGCTTAAGTAGTTTTATTTACGAGAAGAGACTCGCCCAACTCGTTGTGCAAAGCGCTCTCATGGGCAGGACTCGTCTTTATCCTGCACATTTGTATGTTAAATCTTTCATGAAATAAATTTCTTCTTTTTTTTTTTCGACAGTCCGTCCTGTCTGTCCATATCTAATACATCCCAAAGATGCTCTGTTTTTGGCATACTTTCGAGTGTTTGTATCCGTGTGTTGCGGTCTTTCTAGACCTTAACAATACTTTGCCTCGCCTCGGCATTCGCTTTCATTTGTTCCTCCGTGTGTTTCCGGAAAACCGAGCGCCCTATCATGCACAAAGAAAGCATTTTATGTACTCTCTTTAATGTTTGTACTAGCCCATTGTTATAATGTACTCCCCCACACATGAGTGGTAGCTATGTGTCCTATCTTCTCTCCGTTTCTCCGTCTCTCTGTGTGTTTGTGTGTGTGTGTGTGTGTATGTCCGGGTAAATCCACAATGATTTTGATGCCTGCCCCCGGGCCTGCATTGGAAAGTTTACCCGACTGTTGCTTCTGGCTGCTGCTGCATTTCAAATCACTTGAGGCTTCGGTGCTTCTCCTCTCTCCCACTTGACCCGCCCCAAAGCATTATACTGGAAAAACAGTTGGTTGCCATCTAATAATTGTTCTGCTCATATTCCATGTGCACTTACGGAGTATTTCAAAGCGGATTTCGGTGTTAGAGTTCGAGTCGCTCTCTCTGTCTCTGTCTGTTGATGCTTTCGAATGTTTTTTTTAATGTTTCTCATGTGGTGTAGATGGGGGTTTAAAGCTGCCTAAGCTTTGAGCTGGTTCTCTTTGAGGTGTACTGTCAAAATCTCTTTGATAATCCCACTTCTTGGAAACGAAAGGCTTTACTTATGATATAGTAACGGGGACAAAGTAACTGTGGCAGTCAAAGTGGCTGAAAAAACAAAGCAGAAAAAGGAAAAGTTTGGGGAAAAAAAACTTTAAAAATTATAGAGATTTTTTAAACTTTTTGGGGGTGTATTGCAAATTACAAGTATGAGGAAGTGATCTACTCATCCGGGCCGGCAACGTAATTTTTTTATCGTGCAAAGTACAAAATTTGATAGATTCTCGTATCTGCAATGTTGTTGCCACAGATTTTCGTCCTTTGCGGGGTCGGAAACGATTCCTTCTGGACGTTACACACATCCATTTTCAGCACAAATCTAATATACCGCTATAATCATTTTGAGTATCGCGTATAATAATTGTCGCAATGTATAGTTATTCTAACTGAGGTCTCAGAGAACCTAGAGAACCTCAGAGAGCCTCCATTGACGTCTAAATTAATTCCAGATATATAGAAACGGGTTTAAAAATGGTCAAAGTCACCTGACTATGCACAAAACCTCTTTCAACATTATACTCCATCACACAGCCAAGAAAATAATATAATTTCGACAAAAAGCGTTTTCTCAACGACTGTAAAGCCTTTGGTTTCATTCAATCTCCAATATTTACTTTTCTCACACACAGAAGTAGTTTCTGATTTGCAATTTCTCATCATTTGCCAATAACGCGATTCTGGGTGCTTCTGGGTGCTCTTTGGCGTGTCTTGCCACTTCCTTTTTGGTTTTTGCCAGCAGAAAGTACATTTGGCTGCGCGATAAAAACAGTTCGGGCACTTCGCACTCATTCGACACTTTTTTGTTTGTTTTTTTTTTGTGCCCGATCGTGGGCAAGGGGCTGCCAAAAAGCATTCCCAGAATCAGAAAAAGGCAAAATGGAGAACGAGTCGACCCCCGTACAACATCACCAATTTGGATGGTCTGTTGAAAGGAGGCAAAAAAAAGGAGACACTGTTGCCAGTAAAGAAAGGGAGAGGCCAGAGGTCCTAGAGAATCCATCGGTTGGGTGTGGGGAATCGTGGCTTAATGGACCTGGGTTGGGGTGGGGCAGGAGCCAGTAGTCAGGAGTCAGGAGCCAGGAGTGAAGCGTAAGTGAATTCATATTTCATATACCGCGTTAACGCGCCAACAAAAAGCAGCCACGACACACAAAGGGAACAGCATATTCCGCGGGCCGGAAAGATGTGACTCTTCTGGGCGGGGGGAGGTCCATACAAAATGCGTTGACTTCATTGGGAAGCCATTGGGAAGTATCTGTAAAAAGTATCTGCAACCGATGCTGATGCTGTCATTATTTTTCTTAAAGAAATGGGAAACGAGATGAAATGAAAGCCGGGCATGGGCATGTCCTTGTTCAGGAGGCAGCAAGGCTGCAACATCGTTGCTGTTTCTGTTTCTTCAGAAACAGAAGAAATTTGATAGCCGCACCAAAGGATGCAATATCAAAGGACTGCCTTGTGGCCAGCCAGCGACAGGCGAAAAGAGTCGAAGGAAACCGTTGACAGTCAAACTGGTAAATTGGACAGCAGCATGGCAGCCTGGCAGCGGCAAAGACAAAAAAGGCAAAAGCAAAAGGCATTTGAAGACGCAGAAAAACCGATGCCAAAAGCGCAATCCAAATCAGAACTGCGCTTGCTGCTTGGTGCTTGGGGGGTAGCTTCACTGAGTGCTGCAGAAAGCTGCCTGCCCCCCATTGTGGCACACTCATGGCCTTAACAGTCACACAGCTCCGCTACTGTGGTGACTTTCTCGCCTTTCACAGAGCTCTAGCCTGTAAATGCTTTACTGCTCCCAAGGGCAATCCCCAACATCCATAGCTGCTGATCTCACCAAACAGCATCTTGGGGCCACAGCCACAGCCACAGCGCTGTTAATTTAATCTGCGGACTGGCCGCGAGGTGGCGTTATTGCTGTTGAAGAATGGCTCGAATTTCACCGCATCCGACTGTCCGTGGCCGTGGCCGTGTCCGTATCTCTGTCCGTGTGTGTGTGTGTGTGTGCTAAAGTGCGAGTGTGCCACGCACTGAGCTCTCTCAATCATCGTCCTGCAGATACAAAGGAGCCCAGCAGCAGCATCAGCTGCCCCAGCAGCCTCTCTCTTCTTGCCTTTGCTGTTGCCACTTGAAAGCTTTTACCACAATGCCATACCGAGTATCTGTGTGCGAGTGGTGTGTGTCTGTGTGTGTGTGTTTGCGTGTGAGCCCCGTCAAGTGCTTCTTTGTTTCTCAGTGACGATGTGGCTCTGTATGCGAGGGCGCCAAATTTCAAAAGCAGCCGTGCAAAAGCTCTTTTTTGCGTTTCCATTCCAACGGTTTATTTTGCGCGACACTCGACAGGCACCGGCACGGACGTGCACGTGGACGTGGGCGGGGCGGCGGCGGCGGCGGCGGGGGCAGATCCTTTGAAAGTGTAAACGCTGTCAGCCGCTTCACTTTCAATGGGCGGCCCGCGAGGCGTACGTACACTTGATACTACGGCCACTGGATAAATGCCGTGAATTTTCCACGGCCATACAGCCATCCTTTTTAAACTCTTTTCAGTCCTAATTTAATTTAGCGTTAACTTGTTCTGCTATTCCCAGTCTCTGTCTCCGCTCTGTTCTACACTTTCTTTTTTCTTCTATTTTTTTTTGCTGTTGTGTTGCCTGTGTGGTTTCTTGCTAAGGTCAAACCGCCAGGAACAGCGCGAATTAAATGCAATTGACAGTTGCAATTTCAAACTGGCTGTCAGGGCAAATCCCCAAATACCGCACAGGGACGCCGGGCCGGGCAGGGCC